CTACCAGAAAAGTCATCCAACCAACAATCAACAGCCACCCCCACCAGAAAGGTCATCCAACCAACAATCAACAGCCACTCCCATCAGAAAAGTGGTCCAATCAACAGCCACACCCACCAGAAAAGTCATCCAACCAACAATCAAAACCTACCAGAAAAGTCATCCAACCAACAATCAAAACCTACCAGAAAAGTCATCCAACCAACAATCAACAGCCACCCCCACCAGAAAGGTCATCCAACCAATAATCAACAGCCACTCCCATCAGAAAAGTGGTCCAATCAACAAGCAACAGCCACACCCACCAATCATGACTCCACATATTAACTACATATATATACACACACACACACAAACAGATGCACAGTTGGACCTCACCCTGCGTAGCGATGAAGTGGTTGGGACGGTGGTAGCCCTGCAGGAAGAGGGAGCAAGAAGTTCCTCAGTGCTGGTTCTGAATGGTCTGTGTTTGTGCAGGTTTCCCCTCCAGTAACCTGTTTGGACTGTTTCACTCCATGAAGCTCCTTTTTTGGCTGGCTGGAGAGGAAGCCAGCCATGTAATGCAAGTCTAAGGCCTGGACTGGGCGTAGACGCATAGCTGCAGGATGGCTTGTCTGCGATGCAGGTCCATTCACTACTGCCAGCAGCTTTGATACTTTAACGGCAGTGGTTAGTTTGCCCATCTGGTCGGGCCCATTATAGGATAATAGAACCTTTTCATATTGGAAGAGCCCCTATCACACCACTCAAATTATTGTTTCTCCAAATGTTCCAATACAATGTTCAGTTTCACAGAAAACAAACTTCCGGTGCCTGAAAAACATGGTGTTTGTCGATTAACTCAAGGACAGGCTGTTAGCTGGAGGCTGCAGTAGCACCAACAAAATCACCATCTCTGCTGTCATTATGAATGAAGGCTGTAGGCGTCATGACAGACAGGCAGACTGGCTTACCGTCAATCAGCCCTGACTAGAATACAGCATCCATCACCCCATAACCATCATAGCATGATCCAGAGCCGCTGAACGTCTGCTGAGGGGTTTGATACAATGATCAAGACTGCAAGATGGTATGCAGTGACAGCAGACACTGACAGGAGCCCTGAGCAGTCACTACGGGAACAGCATCCCACAGAGGTGGGGATGACAGCAGACACAGACAGGAGCCCTGAGCAGTCACTACGGGAACAGCATCCCACAGAGGTGGGGATGACA